ACAAAGGTGTTTTCAAACAGTGGTTTTCCGTGTACTTAAACTGTCTTATCAAACAAAATACTTTCAATCGTTTTATAAACTGACATCAAGTCACAAATTCTTTATTAGACTTTTCAACGGTTTTACAAAACTTCTTTTATGCTTTTATATTATAAATTGCATGCCTCTATATGTATAGTTATATAAGAAATGTTTGAAAGACTTAGGAAGGCTATCCACCCTATTTCTTTTTCCTCGATTTGGATGTGGTCTGGTGGGATATCGGGTACCCGTCCGAAGGTCGTTTAAATATTAGTTATATATCATGTGTACATATATAGTCATAAATGTTCCATCAGTTAATTATGTTCTGACGCTCTTGGGTAGCAAGGGTGTATAAATCTACTTGGACACTCATCAATTACATTCTAGTAAACTATTATAGGAATAGTTTAGGGGATACAAACCATTATTCCTATTACAAGAAATTACACCAGAGTCAGTTCATTCATGAGTCTAGACTACATGCTATATGAAGGGATACTCTTACAGAGATTCCTCTTACATGGATATATTTATAGGGATACTCTTACATAGATACGCTTACATGAGTACGTTTACATGAATACTCTTACATGAATACTTATACATGAATACTTTTACATAGACATTATATGGAAAATTACTATTACATATTATATGTCTAGATATTGGTATATAGTTCTCTTTTCTATCTTTACCTTGTGATACAAACACATCATCGACAAGATAGATTGGACTTTATATCCTAGTACCAAAGGATACTTTACGGGATTAACCATTCCTAGAATCTCTATTAGCTACAGAGGAAATGCACATCCACGGATGTCTTCGGTTGATACCATTACAGGTATACATTAATGGATTAACTATTCCTACACCCAGCTGTTAGCAACAGAGGTAAATGTACATCTACGGATGTCTAAAGTTAACACTGTTAGTTATCCTAGTATAAAGGGATAATACGTAAGTTAGTTATATTATTACCATTATCTTGTGACTCATCCACATAACCAATGAGGTGAATCGTATTTGAGTATCCTAGTACCAAAGGATACAATTTCTTATATTAATAATAATTGTCAAACAGTCGTTTGGTAGTACTTTCAAACAGGGTCTTGGTAGAAGACTACTTTCAAAACAACTAGGTCTTGGTATAGATTTCATCTATACTAATAGGAATCATAGGGATTTCTAGGGTTTACCAAACGGTTTCGATTACTTACAAACATTTCCACACTTATACGAACTTTCTTTCAGATCAATATCAAGTCTTTCATTACAAGTTTTACAAATCAAAAACACATTAATACTTATGAATTCACCA